TTAGAACTTCCCGAAGATGATGCTTTTTTGGCTCGAATTTCGACATTTTCGAATCAGATAAACACGATGTTATTGTTTCAAATCCAAACGTTTATAAACTGAATATTATTGTCAGATATCAAAACTAAAAAATAAAGCCTTTTGCAGACATTAGAGGTTAGAAAATTACATAGTACAGCAATTGACCACCAGATGGACCGAATTAATTCACACACCATTTAACTCGATAATTATTGCGAATCTCGCAAGACGGTGGGACTTTAATGTTTGTCTTGACCCAATCTACCTTCACACTTTGGATTGGAAACTATTAGCGGACCCTGTATAACTTTGATCTCAAATAATGTTATATGTATGATTTTCTTCTATGAAAAATTTTGGTTATTGTAACCCGAGAGACTGCGACGCTTCTCCAATTATCCATCTGATTAATGATCCATCTGAATGAGCGCGTGCTCATTCGTCAGATTTCTGTAATTGATAACTCGATAATTATTGCAAAAAATAGCAAAACAGTATGGGACTTTTATGTTTGTCTTAAACCAATCTACCTTCACATTTCGGCTTGGCAGCTAATTACCGGACACTTTATATAACGGTTATTGCATGATAAGTTTAATACAACCAATTATTAATTTAATACAACTAACAACATAGTACAAACAATTACTTTACTATAGCATATTTCTGAAGCTGGAAGAAATTTAAGAATTTGCTGACTATTTACGTTTACTTGCGGATATTTATTTTTCTTCATTTCGAGTTTGCTGACTATTTACGTTTACTTGCGAATATTTTTTTTTCTTCATTTCGAGTTTGGCTGGGTAATAAGTTAGTTAGATATTGATATATTGCAGTTAGACCAAGAAAAAATAAAGATTAAAGATCATAAGGCGATTACGTTGCATGTTTGTAACGCATAAATGAATCAGTTACAATCTAAATATAAACTGTGTGTGCGTGTAGCTTGTGAGATGTTATCTATCTCGGCAACGTATCATTATCATCTTTTCACACCGTATGTAATTACGGAACGATTATAGTAATAGCAGCAATTACGTAAACAGACATATTAATAAATCGGTTTTTTATACTGCAGATAATTATTCAAAAACCGAGTTGCTTTAATAAAATTATGCTCTATAATATTAACAAGTCTGGAGGAACAGAACTACTTATAGTTCCTGGAAAGACGTTGTGATAAACAAACCAATTTGTGACACGTGTATTGCGTAACATTATGTTCGCAAGGCAAAACATAGTCCTCGCGTAAAATTGATTGAATTCTTGATGACGCAGTTTACTATATAAATGATAAAACGCATAATATGTACGTCGAATATAAAACCTAAAAAAAATAATCAGTATAACTAGTTTAATCCAGTAACATTATAATATTGGGTTGGCAACTAAGTAATTACGGATTTCACTGATAGATGGCATTAGTTGAATTTTTAGATATATTTACGTATTCGAAATGTCAAACTCATATTGTTGTTTGATAATTGGTACTTCAATTGGCATTCAGTAAAAAAATTGTATCGATCGATTGTGTAGTTTTTGTTTGGCGTCAGTTGAAAAATGGAAAAGCAAAACGAGTATTTTCGTTATATTTTGCATTTTTAGTTCTGCAAAGGAAAAAATGCATCACAAGCTCATAAAAATTTATATGCTGTGTATGGTGATGAAACCTTAAAAGAACGGCAGTGTCAAATTGGTTTGCGAAATTTCGTTCTGATGATTTTTCATTCAAAGATGAACAACGCTCTGGTCGTCCAGGTAAAGTTGATAACGACCAAATCAAAACAATAATCGATGCGGATCGTCATAGCATAATACGTGAGATTGCAGAGAAGTTCGATGTATTATATACATGTATCGAAGAACATTTAAAACAACTTGACTACGTAAAAAAACTCGATTTATGGATTCCTCGTGAACTTAAAGAAATTCACTTAATATAACGCATTGCCATCTGTAATTTACTTATGAAACGTAACGAAAACGATTTATTTCTGAAACGATTGATAACTGGCAATGAAAAATGGATTGTTTACAACAATGTCAATTGAAGAAGACCGTGGAGCAAGCAAAATGAACCAACGCAAACAACATTCAAATCTGATATTCATCAAAAGAAAGTTATGTTATCAGTTCGATGGGATTACAAAGGAATTGTCTACTTTGAAATTTTACTACGCAACCAAACGATCAATTCAGATGTATACATTCAACAACTAACTAAACTGAACAATGCAATTCAAGAAAAGGGACCAGAATTGGCAAATCGAAAAGGTATAATGTTCCACCATGACAATGCAAGGCCACACGTATCTTTGGTCACTCGGCCAAAAAAAAATTATTGGAGCTCGGTTGGAATGTATTGCTACATCCATCATATAATACTGATTTTGCACCATTAAATTATTATTTATTTTGTTCTTTGCAAAACTTCTTGAATGGTAAAAATTTCAATAATGATGATGATGTCAAATCACAATTGGTTCAGTTTTTTGTCGATAAAAACCAAAAGTTTTATGAACGTGGAATTATGATGCTGCCTGAAAGATGGCAAAAGGTTAGTGATGAAAATGGATAATACATTACTGCATAAAGTTATTTCGTTTCATGAAAAAAATCTTTTATGTTCTTAAAAAAATCCGCAATTAGTTGCCAAACCAATATTTGAGAATAACATCACAAATCATACCAAGCTTAACAGTTACATTCAGTCAAAATGAAGTTCGCATTAAACTATCATATATGAGAGTAATACTACAAATCATACCCAGGTTGGTAGTTGCACTTAGCCGACATTCAATTGCTTGACGGTAACACCGAAAATAATACACAAAATATACATCATACCTAACTACTTGATTGTAACATCGGTAATAACACCAAAATTGACGATAAATCTCCAATTGACATCCAAGTTGACGATCAATATCAAAGATTTCGGTGTATTTTTCATAAGGATACATTTAATGATATTACAACGATTTTGATGTGGCATCTTTTTTACCTATCAATATGCACTTATCGCTATAAAAGACAGGAATATAATATAGAATTATTAAAAATGTAGATACACATATACTCAGCAGTCCTATTTAACCGTTTCTCTTTTATTTTCTGGCAAATAAACCTGTAAGTTAATGTGGTAAATATTTACTTTGGCGAATTCTCCGCCAATGACCTTGACCTTGACATATGTTATCAAAGATGGTTTCTTGAGTAACATGCAAAAGGATTTAGCTGTCGCTCGTTATTTGTTAAAAAGTAATTAACAAAAGAAGTTTAATTAATAAAACGTAGTTTTTCAATACTGTATACACTGTTTAACACCTAAAACTTGCAAGATGTTACTTTGGAACACAGTACATATGAACGGAGAAAGAGCTCCCCCGCACCGCCGCACAATGAGCAAAAAGACTCATTTTTTGGACAAAAATCTACTGACAGTGCAATTTTCAACCAATTTCAAAAAATTTTTTTTAATTTACTCATGAAACATTGCTCTAGAACAGTGCCCGGAATTACTTGCACGATCGGGCCGATTTCTGAGAGCTACGCCTCCTTACTTCCCCTTACCGCTCCAGCCCGCACGGCGGACCTAGAAACTGACAGTCGCGAGGCGCTGTCTCAGGCACGTCACATGAGACGCTTGACAGTTTAACATAGCTGAAACAAATTTATTTATTAAAACAACTCCATAGGCATTTTTTATAATTTACTAATATAATATAATCTTAATATTAATATAAATATATTAGGTGCGCAACTAAGTTCTCGCTGTTTTTTTGATGAAAATGCAACTTTATTGTGAAAAAATGGTTACAAATGAATCATTCAAAATATTGCCCATCGCTAGCGATAACTTTTTCCCATCTTTCTGGCAGAGCTCGAATACCGTCACGGTAGAAGTGTTCGTCTTTTCAGGCTATCCACAAATCAAGCCATTTTGAGATGTCTTCATATGAGCGGAACTGCTGATTAGCCAGACCATGTGCCATCGAACGGAACAAGTAATAATCGGACGGCGCAATATCTGGGGAATATGGCGGGTGGGGTAGGACTTCCCATTTGAGCATTTCTAAGTAGGTTTTAACGGGTTTGGCAACGTGAGGCCGAGCGTTGTCATGCTGTAGAATCACTTTTTCGTGCCTCTGCTCGTATTGTGGCCGCTTTTCGCGCAGTGCTCGGCTCAATCGCATCAATTGAGTTCGATACCGTTCCCCAGTGATGGTTTCGTTCGGTTTCAACAGCTCATAATAAATAACACCGCCCTGGTCCCACCAAATACACGCAAAACCTTCGCAGCGTGAATATTCGGCCGAGCCGACGACGTAGAAGCATGACCGGGCAGTCCCTATGATTTTGTTCTCTTTGGGTTGTAATGAATCCATTTTTCATCACCTGTAACGATGCGATGAAGAAAACCCTTCCTTTTTTGCCGCTGGAGCAGTTGTTCACAGGCGAAAAAACGACGCTCAACGTCTCTTGGCTTCAAATCATAAGGAACCCAAGTTCCTTGTTTTTGAATCATTTCCAACGCATGCAATCGCTTGGAAATGGCTTGGCGGGTAACTCCTAATGCTGAAGCAAGCTCTTTTTGCGTTTGGCACGGATCCTCATCGAGCAATGCCTCCAATTCAGCGTCTTCGAAGGTTTTTGGCCTTCCTTCACGCGAACGGTCGTCAACATCGAAATCACCGTCTTTGAAGCGACGGAACCAATCACGGCACGTTGTTTCACTTAGAGCAGCATCTCCGTAAACTTTTTGGAGTTTTCGATGCGCTTCAGCCGCCGTTTTCTTCGAATGAAAAAAGAAAAGCAACACTTTCCGCAAATGACGATTATTTGGCACAAAATCAGACATTTTCACACAACCAAAAGTATATGACAAAATCACTAATGTGCCAAAGCGGTTTGTTTACCATATGACTAAGCTTGGTTCATGACGTTTTGGTTATGTCACAATCAAGGTTGTGTACGCATAATACCTCATGTTTTATGCGCAGAGTTGTATGCGCAGAAAACTCGAGTATTCTACGCAGAAAACTGAGCGAGGTTTTCTGCTGCATAAAACTCCTCTTATGCAGAAAACCTCCTTTAAGGTTAGTATAGCTTTATTTCCTTTAGCGATAAGTTCATGAATTTACTGCGAGTTCTAAGATCATTTTTAATTGGATTCAAAAGATTCAAAGGTTGGATTTTACGTGAAAATTGTATATCCACTTCTAACTAGTCTATAAGAAAAAATGCATGAAGTACAACTCTGTTAAAATTCTGTAAAAAAACAGCATGTTTGTTATTATTTTTTAGTGAAAATGTCAAATATAGGAGGAAGACCTTCTCATGATTATTATATTGAAGGTGAATTTATGAGGGTCAGAGAAAATGGAAAATATTTTGCAATTTGCAAATTATGCAATACAAGGTTGTGCACTACTGCAGTAAAACGCCTGAAAACTCATCGGTACGTACAATAGTCAATTCCATTATTTATTAATAAATTACCATATTGTGAACTGTTATGGCACAGAAACACTAATAAATCTTAACATAAATCAAAACTTTAAGTTATACAGAATAAATTCAATAGGTATATTTTCTCTTGTTTTCTTTTCATAATAATAATCTAACTGCTTAAGATATTTTAGTGCATTTATTAAATAGCATTTTAAATAGCACTGTGTTACTTTTATATAGGGTAAAGTGTTCAACGAACAGCAATGACATTAATGAAAATGATCTTGGGAATAAAAGAAGTTATAGCAGCATCGATGGTAAAAATGAAGATGAATTATTAGGCAATAAGAAATTATTAGGCGAATATGATGTTGTTGCGGGCAAATGTATATTGGTATTGCTATATATACTTAGACGCAAACAATATTTTTTGTATTGGCAGAGGAATTTTTCCAGCCATCAATTAAAAGTACAGATTCTGTATTCTTCAAAGACTCTTTTCTAGCGGGAATCATCTTTGTATGAAATTTATCCAAGATACTTGTAGATAAAGTCTTCCTTGTCGGCAGTTTATAAGTCGGATTTAAAATAGATATAAAATTTTTAAAATGTACCGATTCTACGACAGAAAACGATATATTACAACCGAAAAAAAATTTGGTCAATGCTTCGTCAATAGTATTGAGGCCGTCGTTAGAAGATTTTTGCACATTATCCGACGCAGTCTGGGCTGGGTATCGTTGAGTGATGAGTGCATCTACAAAAAGGCATAAACATATTTCATTTGAAATTTAATATTTAGATTATAGTTAAAGCCTAATTTGAAATACATGAGTTGACTTACATTAGTTGTATTGCTCTTGGTGACTTTCCGTTTTTTAGCCTTATTATTACTTGCTTGTTTATTATCATTACAAACCATCCTGAAAGTTAAAATATTTCATATATTTTTTGGTTTAAGTATAACTAAACATAAGAGATGATTCAAATAGTTTTGAAATGTAAAAATAGGGGAGACCGGGATTAAATGATACACGGGGCACGTTGTTATATTTAACATTACTGCAAAACGACAAAAGATAATAGTGCATAAAAATATAGTATTTTCGCAAAAACATTGCGGTGATGTTGCAGTAAGTTATTTCAGGCTACATGTTTTTGTATTCCATTTGTTAGTTTCGTGTAAAACAATCATAGAAAAAAATTGTATCAACCAGCCCCGGTCTCTCCTACAATAAAAATATAATACAATTTTAAATATAATATAATTATATACAGGATATATACAAACCTTTGCTTCTGTAACTTCTCACCATCACTTTTTATAACCGTTTGGCATATGAGACAAAGCACAAACATTTGCCCATGATCATGAAAAACATGAAATTGGGAATATAGTTCTTCGCTGTCTCCCATTTTTTAATTTCTTTCTATATCCAGATGATATCTAGATATGGTAATGAATCTAATTCACGCGCGGTAAATAGGATTGTAGAGTTAGGGCGGATTCACATTTTGGCAAAAAAGCGGAAAGCAGAAAGGCAGCAGCCAATCAGAACTCGCGCTGGTAATATAGTAAAAGAAAGCAGAAACCAGCGCGCGTTCTGATTGGGCGCGTTCAGCGAAAAAAGCGCTCAGTGAACAATTAGCGATTATTGGTCCTTACTTTTAGATCTCGAAATCTAGACTAATTACGTCGACGAATTCCTCAACTGTTGTGCAATTATTGAGTTCGTTGAACGCACCCATTGACTGCTGCCTTTCTGCTTTCCGCTTTTCTTCCAAGGTGTGAATTCGCCCTTAGAATGGGCATCACATGGGTTTTCTGCGTTTTCTGCGTTTTCTGCATGTTTTCTGCGTATTCTGCGCGTTTTCTGCATTTTATGCATATTATGCGCAGAATTGTGCATAATACCTCCCTGCCGCGCATATTACCCAACCCTGGTCACAATCGACCAGCATTTACTACTGGAGCCATCTCTTGAAAAACAGCGGGAACTTAGTTGCGCACTTAATACAATAAAGTGTCGATAACTTTCCACAAGGGAAAGTTATCGAGCCTTTACTATCACTATTATACAAATATATATATGTAAGGATTAAATTTACATATAAAAATTCCTATAACCACTTAAAATATGCATTGAACAGGGAGAGGAAGGGAAAGAAAGAGAACGAGAGAGCTAGAAAGCGAGAGAACGAGAGAGTGTGTGTGTGAGAGAGAGGGAGAGAGAGAGAGGGAGAGAGAGAGAGAGAGAGAAAGGGAGAGGGAGAGAGAGAGAGAGAGAGAGAGAGAGAGAGAGAGAGAGAGAAAGGAAGAGGGAGAGAGAGAGAGAAAGAGAGGGAGAGAGAGAGAGAGGAGTAAGACAGACATATATCTATTGTTGGATTTTATGGATATGGAAAAATCATTGTCTTAAAATGTATTCGGTAAACATGATAACTGTATTAGCGAATTTATAAATGAAACTTTTTCTTTCTTCCATCAATACACTTAAATTTTGTATTCGTTCAGTTTTTCCTTCCTCCATCAATATACTTAAATTTCGTTCAGTTAAAGCAAGATAGCTTTTATCATGAAGAATGGGTGCCAATAAGATTATTCACCTGTGTACGAAAAATTTTTCGAGAATAATATTGACTAATAATTTTAATTCCAAGTACTCGAACAAAACTCTTTCTGCATACGCAATACTTTATCGCCCCCACAGAACATATAAAGAAATTTCTATTTAACCTTTTTTATATGGCATCAACTCCAGGCATTTATACGTGTTCTGTCGAAGAAGTAATGAGAACAACTTATCTATAACATTTTTATCAAAATTAATTACATTTACATATGGATCCATTTTCTGAACTCTCTTCTAGCAATGTAATAGCCTATAAAAGTGTCTAGTAGCCAATGAAATAGCTTATGGGTCAAATAGAGCCTTAGAATATATACATTTGTGCTTATAAGCCTATTTTACACGCACTTTTATCGATAAATAATAATGATTACACTTTATAGACGATATGTAAGAATCAGAAAACAAGCTGTGAACATTTTAATGAGCAAACACTTCCAGAACAGTTATCAGGAATAGTAGGAATGTGCTGGGAATAATGAGTTATATTCTATGGTTTTTCAGAAATATACTTTATAAAGGATCATATGTGATTGTATCAAAGCTTAATAAAATTTGTTAAAATATATCGTTCTCATTATTTCTGTTGCAGAACCCCGTAGTCTCTATCAATCTCTTACCACGAGCTTCTGCAGGTTTGTCGGTTTTTAGGCGTTTGACTTTATTCTGGGACTATTCAGGTACCGCTGGACGACGAAGTGAAGAGAAAGAAAACGTCAATGTAGCTTCAGGTTTATTAATATGTGCTGATAAATTTGAGTGGCTGGATGAAGGTGGAGATAGTGCCGAAGAAGGTTCACCTTGGAGAATGGTTTTTTCTCGAGGAAGATATACAGATGACTGTATGTGAGTTGTTGATTGTGTGGAAGATACAGCCAAAGGTGTTTGACGTTGGAGCAGAGTGTTTTTTTGTGGAAAGATATGGATCGATGTATGTTTGTGCGGTGATACAGATGTGGACAGGACAGCCTGAGAAGTTTCATGTAGGAATAGCGTATCTTTCTGAGGGAAATGAATGAATGTGTCTGTATAAGTTTGTACTGATTTGGGTTGTACAACGGTAGGACTTGTGCATGGGGGCAGATTTTCCTTAAGTGTTAAATGCTCCTTTTCTGCCTAATGCAATGGCTGTATGAAAAAAATTAAAGCAAAAATGGAAGAAAATAGAAGTAGAATAAATGTTTAACTTATAATTAAAACAGGTAGAAACAACAATTTCTTATATCTGCGTATATGTACAATGTGGACACATTATACAAAGCGATATTTCAATAATGTTGTAATATAGTACAATTTTGCATACTAACCTCTGCAGGATCTATTACTTTCCAGTGTCCAGTTATGGATTCTATACCCATTAATGTTATAAGTCGTTCCTCCAGTTCGTTGAGAGAAGCTGTTGATGGACCCCCTGCACCTGTGCCTTGTTGATAATTTTTTAACTTGGCAGCCTTACTTTTGATATCAATACGCCAATCTCTCCATGACTGTAAAGTAAATATACTAAGAATATAATATCTATATAGATACTTTTTACAAAAAATGGCTTAAGTTTATTATTAAATTCTTTGTGAATGGTACAAAATGAGAAAGAGAAAACAGAATCAAACTTTTCTTCAATATACAGGGTATTTCAACGTAAGATTCAACTCTTTGGCATTCCTTTAGATTAGGTCATTTTGGATCAAAAAGTCCTGTACCACTTTGCAAACCACATAAAATTTTGAATTATTAATTATTGAAAATGGCCATATTTAGAGGCTTTTTTAATTAATTACTTGAAAATTTGTGTATTAATTTACAAAATGGTGAAAGACTTTCTTGTTCAGAATGACCTACACAGTCTATCCCAGATCCAATGAGACTGGTCTAAAAAAAAATACAAAGCGTTTATTATTTTGATTTTTTATTCTTGTTTATTCAAAATAGTCTCCTTCTGAGTCAATACAGCGCTGGAAACATTCAACAAATTTTTCGAAACATTTTTTATACTCATCGGCTCATCGGCGGAATGGCCTTTAGTATGGCGGTCGAAGTCTTTTGGATGACCGGGATGGTATCGAAACGATTTCCTTTCATCGCCAATATCAGTTTGGGAAATAGCCAGAAGTCGCACGGAGCCAAATCAGATGAATACGGTGGACGATCGATAACAATGATGTCTTTACAATGCTGAACTCTCCAATCTTTTTGGTCGTCTGTCAGAGTGTGTGGCACGAAGTGCGCACAGACCTTCCGTTTGCCCAAATCTTCGGTCAAAATTCGTAAAACATCTGATGCAAAAACTGTAAAACATTTCATGCCTTATCATTATTTGTTGCTGTTTTACGTCTACCGCATCTTGGGCGGCTTTTAACGCTACCAATGTCCTCGAAACGTTGAATAGTACGGATTACAATACTTTTGGAGATCCTATTATTTTCATTCCGAAAATTTTCATTAAATAATCGCATTACTGTTTTATACCCTCTTTGTTGATCTCCCCATCCTCGCATCATTAACAGTGTTATTCGATCTCTTTCAGAAAGCTTCGCCATTCTTAATTAGAGTAAAAAAAAATTAATCAGGTAAGTGATAGGAAATTGATCTAAATAATTAAGTAGAGAAGAATACTAATTATTAAGTGTTGGTCTAACTATCGATTTGTTTATTTCAACCAGCATTAGCAAAAAGCTCGTTGAGCAACTGAAAATCTAATAGATCAATTAATAATATTTACGAAAAAATTCTGGGCTATTGGAAACGAAATAAAAATGTTTGGAACAATCAATTGAAGCGCAATGGTTTTTTTTGTTACAGAAACAATTTTTGGGGCTGTTCGTTTTCGTCCACGAGGTGACTGCTGCTCGCTAAGAAGAAGACAGCACTGCATCAAAGATTCAAATCAGTGATCCGCATTGTTTGCTCAAGAGCTTGTATTACTATTGGTGCCTGCGAGAGTGAGATCGGCCCCGCCAACGCTTTCGGGCAGATTCCCGCTAACGCCTTCGGACATCACGCATTCTTCTCGAGCAGCTTCTCGCGATCACCTTCGGGCAGTTTTCCGCCATAACCTACTAGCATAACCGCTTGAAGCTGTATTACTTTACTATTGGACATTTTTCCAAAATGCATTCTTACTGAAAATATTAGGGGGAGCCGATACTTTTCGATTAATATATTTTCTTTAAACCAATTAATTGGTCTCATTATTTCGAGCACAAAAGTATTAAGGTTAT